GGCTGGAGCCAGGCGGGACCGCGACCCCCCGGCGCCCACCCGCGGGCAGCCTCCCCGCAGCCCCCGGCCGCTCCCCCTCGCCTGCCCCGCCGCCGCGGCGAAGCCAGGAAACGCGTCCAGGAAAAAGGAAATCCGATTTCCGACCGAGCCGGGGAAGCTTTTAAATAGGAATAGAAAATCCCGCGGGCTGGGGTAGGGAGGAGAGAGGGACAGAGGGAGAGAGCTGCGGGGCAGGGGGGAGAGGGAGAGGAGGCGGGTGGGGTGGAAGGATGGGTGGCAGGAGCGGCGAGTGGAAGGAAGGACGAGTGTTGGTGTTTGGAGAACAGATGGCTGGGGAAAGGCGAGAGGGATGGAGAGGTGGATGGAAGGAAGGAAGGAGAGATGGGTGGATGGACGGAAGGACAGAAGGGAGGATGGGTGGATAGATGGAGGGAAGGGTAAGAAAGAGAGAAGGAAGGGCGAGAGGTGGAAGGATGGAAGGAAGGGCAGGTAATGGGTAAGACGGTGGAAGAATGGGCTGATGGAAGGGTCAGAGAGTAGATGGAAGGGATGGCTGGTAGCGGGGACAGAGAGAGGGACGGAGGGACAAGTGGGTGGCACGGAAGGATGGATGGAAGCACCGGGGAAGGGTGGGTGGGTGGGTGGAAGGATGGGTTGGAAGGACAGAAGGGTGGAAGGACAGGGGGACGGTGGGCGGATGGAGGATGGAAGGGAGGACGGGTGTGCGGGCGTGGAAGGCTGTGAGGACGGCTGGAAGGAAGAAGCAAGGGATGGTTGGAGGGCTGGAAGGCAGGAAGGGAGGACGAGCGGAGGGAGAGGGGAAGGCAGGGTGGGCTCTGGAGGGAGACGGGACAGAGAAGGGCCCCGGGGCAGCGGCGGGGCAGGGCGGGCGGGGGCCGGGTGCTGTGCGGTGCACGGCGCTGCGGCGGGGCAGCGGCCGGGGGGGTCCGCCCGTACCTGGCAGGTACATGTTGAGCAGCAGTGGCACCGCTCCGGCGCCGTGTCTCATGGCAGCTGTGGGGGCGGCCCGCGGGCTGCATGTTTTAATATTCCTGCCCCTATTATTATTATTATTATTCCACTTTATCAGGGAGCAGCTGATGGCGAATAAATGGCAGCGGGACGGGCAGGGGACGGGCAGGGGCCGGGAGAGGCGGGGGGGGGGGGGGGGGTTCCCGGGGAACCGCGGCGGGGCCGGGGCCCCGGCTCCAGCAATTTCCTCCGCTGTAATTAAAGCGGGCGCTGCCCCCCCCCTTCTCCCCCTCCCCT